TCCAGCTTGCCAGTCTCCACCCTCTGACTCACTCCTTTGTTACCTGTCCAACTGAGTTAAGTGTGTGACTACTGCCACGCTCATGGGAGACATCTCCTCTATTCACTCAAGAGATACATGAGCCATGCACCGAGCTAGCTAGATGCTGTAAAAGAAATAAACATTAGACATACCTAAGAATTAGAACTCTCCATCAGAAATAATAGGTGTGAGAGGGATTTCAAGTTATGGTGGAAGAGATTACTTCAATTCTTGAAATACAGGAAAAGGATCTGCAATCTAGATCAATATTGTCAAAACAAGAATGTGCATATTTGGTAGAAAGTGTAAGCTTCTTAAGTAGAAGACTCAAAGCCAAGTCCTTCCCTATATAATAAACCATTAAATCTACAAGCTCTTCATAGGATCACAGATGCAAGGTCCTGCTGGCAGGCAGAGGGCTATGCATAACTGCAGAAGCTCAGCTCCACTCAAGAGGATGCTCATTGACTATGGTTTAACATGAAAGCAATGGAGCCTGAGAACAGAACCAGATCAGTCACTGAGGTGCATAAATATCCAGATACAGAGGACGGTGGCCTAAGGATTTAACTTTCAGTCATGTGTGGACGAGGGACATATCAGAGTCTCTGGCCCTCTAAGATGCATCATGATTCTTTGCTTTGTCAGAATCCTATCATGCAGGATTTTCCAGGAAATAAGATCTGCCTTTGTCATTTCATTATGGCATTTCTCTTGATAGTTCACCCCTCTGCTGTGCTGGCTCTTAAGCACCTGTCACCCTCTGAAGATGTTTATGTAAAGGATGCCATTGCTACTGTTCCTTCATTGCTAGAAATTAGGCAAGCACAGGAAGTGGCAGAGTGACGATGATGTATGAAATTCAAACTTTATAAGAGCAAAAGACAGCACGGATATCCATCAACAGAAACCTGGTATGTTAAATCGCATGATACGGTATTCTGCAGCTGTAAAAGGAAAAAGGGATGGAATGCTACTGAGCAATACAAAGGAACAAAGTACTGATACACACGACAACTTGAATGAATGCCAAGAGAATTACGCCATGTAAAAAAAGGCCAAAAGTCTAATCCCAAAAGGTTACATCTTAAACGATTTCACTTATATAACATTCTTTAAATGATACAATTACAGAAATGGAGAACAGATTAATGGTTGCCCCTAGAGATGGGGAGGTGTATGTGGAAGATGGGGGTGGATACACAAACCTACACATGTGATAAAACTGTATAGCAATATACCTACACAATATATATTCCATGCCATGAAAAGAACAGAAATATAAGTGATGCAATTGCTTAAAATTTTTCAGTAAAGCTCCTTATAATACAAAGGTACCTATGGGAAATTAGGGAGGGGGGGAGAGAGGAGGAGGAAAAAGGAGAGGATAGAAGAGAGAGGGAGAGAAGAGGAGGAGGGGGAATATTCCGAGAATGGGAATGTTCTATACACAAAATCTGAATGACCTCTAAGACACACTATTAAAAGAAAATGGAAAAATATGGTGGTTTGCGTAGCACTCTACCATTTGAGTAAACAAAAACAAAAATGTTAATACTTAATGTTTATCCACAGAATTTTTCTGAGAGGAAACAAAAGAAACAGGCAACACTGGTTACCTCTATTGATGGGATGTGGGAGGCTCAGGGTTGAGATGGGAGACTTTAACACATAGCCCTTGAACCTTCTGAATTTTATACCACATGGATGTATTACTTATTCATAAAATTACCATTTTCTTTTTCAATATATGAAAATCAAAGCAAATCCATGCTTCAGCGTCTTCACCTTTGTACACACCTGTAGTCTGGCCACTGCTTTCTGTTATTACTTATCCCCTCTGGGTACTTAGTACTTAGCCTTTGTACCTAAGCCTCTTAAGACGCCATACTGGTTCTGAAGATCAGTTTCACAGCTTACCTGAAAATGCTTCTGAATTATTACTCTTCCAACACACACACGCGCGCGCACACACACACGCTGCACTATTTCATATGACATAGCTCGGTCTATAGTAGCTGACTATAAAAGATGACAATGATCTTCAAGCCAAGTGAAAATTTTAGATTTCAAAAGCAAAAAAAGGAACAAGTCCAAAAGTAATAACGACGATGATGACAGCTACCAGTTTTTTACTTTTTACTCTGTGCTTGGTACTGGGCCAAGCGGCTGACGAGCGTCATCTCAATTTACTCCTCACAGCAACCTTTGCTAGGTAAGTTTTGTTACGTTCACTATATAGATGAGGAAATGGAAGCTCAGGTAGTTTAAATGATTTGCTTAAGGTCACATAACTTCTGAGAGAGGAACTTGAACTTGTACCAGGGTCTGTCAATACTAACAATGAGGAATCATTCTTCTGTGGCTTAGTAAAATTCACCTCAGTTTTGGTAGCTCTAAACTGTATCTGAGACAACCATACATCTCTTTGTAGCTGACAACTTGTTACTTTTACAGTCCTACCAATAAGCCAGGCTCTAGACACCAATATTACCAAAATACCTGCAATTTGCACAGTCAGCAGGATAAAATACTTAACATAAAAGCTGAGACATCTCCGAAGTAAGAAAACCTAGGTTGAAATTTTTAGTCAATCCAATTCAGAATTTAATACTTGGTTTACCCAAACAACCACCAGAATTCTTTCACAAAGGAAAGAAATCCCACCAGAAAATTTAAGACTTTTGTCTCAGTCAATAAACTTCTGAATTAATCATTGTTATCTAAATCAAATATAACTTCTTGAAAATTATGTGCATCAAACAAGTGTCAACAAACAGACTACTGTGTATAATTTATGGCTTTTGATCTTGTAATCAGTCACAATGTATTTTGAATAGGCCAACTTACCCCTAAATAAAATATTTTCTAAATAGAAAAAATTTCTGCATCTCATCAAGCAGAGCTGAATCACTAAAGTGAGATTTTTCACATTTAGTTTAAAAGATGTGAAACATTAAAGATACCAGGAACTTTCCCCAACACCAGATTATTCTGTATTAAGACACAACACAGGATTTTAAATCAACTTAATGTGATTAAAATAAAAAATTTAAAACACATACCATGCAGTTTTCTGAGATAAGGGAAACAAAGTTAATAAAACAACAGTAAAATGCTAGCAAATAAACGGAACCCAAGTTTGGTCTTCTGTATTCCAAGGACATCTCTTAATAAACTTAAAATATTTGTGTTATCAAGGCATTTTCTACCCATACTAAATTTCTCTAAGTTATCCTTGGGCTTTCTAGTCTATTCTCTGTCTAGTGGCAATGCAAATTCAAGAATTTTTTAATAGTCCCATTAGACTAACAAAGTCAAATATCAACTGACAGTCTCTATTACTTTCTTTTTGGGGACTAATCTTTTTTTCATTAATCTTCTTTCATTGAGGTTATTTTGTTAGACCAACTTTCTAAAGTAGCCAATATTCTATGTTCATCCCCTAAGGTCATGTTAATCTGTATCTTCCAAAAACCAGCAGAGGCCATTTCTGACTCTGTTCCCTCTTCCCTATCTCCTTTGGTGTAAGATCACAGACACAAAGCCATGGCTGCAAGGCAAAAATACGGCAGATTTAAAGTGATTCATGAGTGATTACCACTTATTTCACTGGCATTCTGAATACTGTTAGAACTTAAAAAGGTTAAGAAAACTAAAGTAAAACATCCTCTATATGCTTCCATTGTCTTCTGAACTAGAGAACACATTCTGGAAATACTGTTTTTGTTAAGACCAGACATTTGGTAGATTCAAGTGGGTCTCTGTACAAACAATAATTCTATTGGCTATCTTGTGATGTACCTTCATTCAACATCATAAAAGCAGCTGAGAAAGATGGGTACATAGAGGTGTACTGTCGGCCAATAAGCAACGAGAGTAGCTTGTTAAATACTACAGACAGTGGAAGTTATCTAATGTAGGAAATTATACATTCAATATTGACTTGTTAATGATCTCAAAGCCTCTTACATGTAAACATTCAGAACTTCGAGAAGATAGAACAGAAAGTTGTTAGGATTCCCATTAGTCTTCAGTACTGTAATTTCACATTCTTGAACCCAAAGTTATACTATTTGAATGCTAATAAATATCATTTCTGGTCACACAGTACTTAATGTAGGTCATAAAATTAAAAGGTTTTTGTCCATAGCCCAAAAGTGAATATTTCAAAATATTCAAGCCTTTTGTGAACAAATTTACACTTGCTGAGTTGGATTACAAAGTGGAAACGGTGTTTGAGGAAGAAAGCTCCTCTCATGTTAGAAAATGACGTTTTTTTCTTTGCAGAATGGAAAAGGGAAAAGAGGTTTTGTTGCTTTTAAAATGGAATGATATTTGGGTTTTAGCTCTGTGCATTTCTAGGTTCCACCTGGTACTATCCACGAGAGAGGAAATTCTGTGCAGAAGTCCACGCTTTCCAATAATGAGCAATCTGGGAAGAACCTGAAAACTTGACAGGCTTAGAGGCTGCCTGCCAGAGGGCTGCACATCTCCGTACTCGTTCTCCCCTGCAATCTTGATGAAAACATCAACCATTCAAGTTTAGCAATAAGGCAACAAACTCCTGAGTTCTATGGAGTACATCAGTTCTGCCCACCAGGAATCAAAGCCAGATGAGGGAAAAATCAAAACATAACATAGCATGAGGGGAGAAAGTGAAAAGAGGGAGGAACAACAAGAGGATCAAAAAAATAAAACAATAAAACATCATGCTATAGAACTGATGTACTCCAGGGAACCACTGAATATTTGCAATTGTCTCTACTGGTCTTCAACACGCAAAGACAGAGAACGAAATCAGCTATCAAAGATCACTGAGCCTTCCTTGTGTTTACAATATGTGCTATGGAATCACTAAGCTATATAACATTCATCAGGAAAGAGATTTTGGGATGTTCGGCTAGCACGTAATTAGAACACACCATATTAAAAAAGCAATAAAAAGTAAAATTAAGAAAACAAGAGAAAGGGGCCCATGCTGTATAGCCCATGAATCTCATCGGCTTTATCGTGAAAGTTTATTGTTTTTAATCCTAGTACAATCAGCTACCAGTTACATACAGTAAAAAACAAAAACAGCCACAAAGCAATGATGATAGAGATAGTCTGTGACATTGTACAGCGGAGGAAATATTTTCTGTTGGAATCCTCCAGCAGACCCCCACCTGGCTTCAGCAGTTAAGCTATCACTCCCTCCCTCCCCAAAATAGTTAAAAAGAAAAATTAATGTCTTGCTTGGGTATAGCAAGATTCTAAGACCTCTTGGGGACACTGGAGAACTTTAAAAAAACTAAAGTGGTAGAAACAAAACAAAAACTGAAACGTGGAAGGCAAGGTGACACACAACGAAGCTCCATGAGGCCGTGGCTTCAGATCACCTCAAAGCGAACCACCTGGAAAGAAAAGAAAAGGCTGTCATACCACGAAACAGCATGCACAAAGTTCAGATGCCAGTATCTCATCACTCCACTCCTCCTCAAATCTACAGACTCCAAGCTTTTCTCAAGTCTTATATTAAGGGAGCCAGGTTGCAGAAAATTGCTCCCTTTTCCAACACCCTGCATTGTAAATGTTGGCAAGTAGCACATACTTACTCTGTTAAGAACCAGAAAATAATACAAGAAGAGAAGCATTTTTAGCAAAGCATGCTGTCTCCTTTATCTCAAACCCTTCAAAACAACCACACAGTAGGCTATTTATATGACTGTGCAATCTTACCTTAGAGGAACAATGACTCCGTTCAAAAACTAAGTATCATATATATTTGGTTCGATTGAGGGCTTTTTCAGCCAGGTGACCACTTTCATCTGTGATCTTCTCCCAATCAGTCTGTCCGACCACAAAACCTATGGCCCTTTTCCTATCTGCGTCCTTCTTTTCTTCCAGGTCTGCCCATCTCACCTAAAAAGAACACAGCGTTAGGCTGGGCTTTAGGAAAAATCAATATGCAACGAGCTTCTTCACTCTCTCGATAGTCTAAGGGGTAGGATAACTAATCTGAAACTAAGAGATAAAAACATTAGGAATTAACTGGGGAGAAGTGGAGAAAGCCATGTATCTTAAGTTACAGAAAGAAAATTCTCTGGTCAGTCACCAAGTCCTAACCTTTCCAGCTCCTGAACAGTTCAGCTCTCAGCTCAGTCCTGGCACCTCCATTTCCTCTGTCCCTCCTTTCTGGTTCACTGATCTTATTTTTCCCTCTGCCTAGTCTTCCTACCTTACATGCTCACTCCCTCCAATCCATTCTGCCAGAGTGATCCCCAAATACACACTGTTGTGACTCTCACCTGCTTTAAATCCTTCCCCTGCCTAAAGAATAAAATCCAAGCACACAGGTCCCTCTGGATCTGGCCCTGTCTACTCTCCAGTGGCATTTCTGGGCAGTGCCTACAGCCTTTTATATAAGCAGTACAAAATTACTTCTAGCTCTCCGAGCACACTGGGCCATTTACCATCTCTGTAATCGTGCATATACTAGTCTCCTTCCTGAAATGTCTTTGCCTTAACCCTGTCCACCTGCTGTGAGTCTAGTCATCAACCACTGCTTTATCTTTCTTGTTCTTTGCCAATCAAATAATTAATCAATCATTGCTTCCTTAGAGCTACTTCTGGATTTTGACATGTTTACTTTTGAACTTTCACACTATATTGCAATGATCTATTTATAGACCTGTCTTCCCTAACAGACTATAAATACCTTAGATCAGTGGACTTTTATTTATCTCTACACAATAAATATTTCTTAAAATCTAATCTTAGAAAATAGGGAGCCGGTATTACTATTTTCATTCATGAGATAAAGAGATGAAGAGATGGACTCAACTGCTGGCATTTATGAAAATACATAGATTTTAACTACAAATACATAGATCAGGGATATTTCCCATTGGTTGGTATTCTGATATTTTTAGAATGTAAGCAGATACATTTTGAATTTTAGTAACATATCAAACATAGAGTCTTATATTAACAATTAAAAAAATAAGCAGACATATTCTGCAAAAGTTGAAATACTTAAGGAGAAACTATGAAACTGTGGACATAGCACCAACGTCTACAGAGATTGTATTTTTTTTTTAAGATTTATTTATTTGAGAGAGAAAGAGCAAGTGCACATGTGGGAGGGGCATGGAGAGGGAGAGAGAATTTTTTCTTTCTTTCTTTCTTTTTTTTTTAAAGATTTTATTTATTTATTTGACAGAGAGAGCGAGAGAAGGAACACAAGCAGGGGGAGTGGGAGAGGGAGAAGCAGGCTTGCTGCTGAGCAGGGAGCTCGATGTGGGGCTCGATCCCAGGACTCTGGGTTCATGACCTGAGCCGAAGGCAGATGCCCAATGACTGAGCCACCGAGGTGCCCCAGGACAGAGAATTTCAAGCAGACTCTGCACTGAGCATGGAGCCTGACATGGGGCTCGATCTCACAATCCTGAGATCATGACCTGAGCCGAAACCAAGAGTTGGACGCTTAACTGACTGCACCACCCATGCGCCCCCAAGACTGTATTTTAAATATAGCTTGTGATTTATTATCTGTGACAAGGAAAGAAAACCAGAGCACGCATACTCCATGTTCTTCACACTGGACCCAGAAATGCATTACTGCTCTTAGAGGTACACTGACCTTCCCTATTATCATTTATAGGACTGGTAATGAAAGGACTAGGCTTCTCCAAAGAGCACCCACTTGGTCAAAGAGAAGATACGTAGTAACAGGAGTGGGAAAAATTGATAACACAACTCTTTAAAAAAAATTTTTTTTTAAAGATTTTACTTATTTATTTGACAGAGAGAGAGAGAACACAAGCAGGGGGAGGGGCAGAGGGAGAGGGAGAAGCAGGCTCCCCACTGAGCAGGGAGCCTGATGCAGGGCTTGATCTCAGGACCCTGAGATCATGACCTGAGCCGAAGGCAGACACTTAACTGATTGAGCTACCCAGGTGCCCCAACACCCAACTCTTTTTAAAGTAGATTTTTAGTGTGTAGAAAACCTAAATTTCCTTCATGGACTTTAGTTAAAAAAAAAAAAAAAAGCCTAAATCTTAAATAATGTGGCCTTTTGTATACAGAGATCTCTGGGCTTTCGGCTACATATTTATGCTCATTGTATTTATTTTGATAGATTCATACACTCTCTCAGTTGCCCTTGGGATCAAGGGGACACATTTTAGCAAAAGATGATTATGGTTAAGGAGGATGAAGGATGGACAGATTGTGGCCACTGAGGAAAGAAATGGTAACTAGTCCACAGTACATCCTTAGCACAGAGTTAAACATACTGGTCAATCTCACCCTGAATAAACTAAGAGCTAACTTTTAAGTCTGCAGCTTAAATTAAGTCTTTAAAACTCGGATAAAATAAAGAACATAGGATTAGAAGAAAAAGTATGTAACTTTTTTAACAATTTTATTTATTTATTTGACAGAGAGAGACAGGGAGAGAGGGAACACAAGCAGTGGGAGAGGGAGAAGCAAGCCCCGTGCCGAGCACGGAGCCTGATGCGGGGCTTGATCCCAGACCCAGGGACCATGACCCGAGCCGAAGGCAGACACTCAATGACTGAGCCACCCAGGCGCCCCAACACCCAACTCTTTTTAAAGTAGATTTTTAGTGTGTAGAAAACCTAAATTATTATTTAAATATTATTGCTTATTTTTTAAATAAGCAATATGTTTTAGCATAAATGCCCACAATTTTAAGTTGAAATTAAAATATTTTGGAAACTACTGTATTTTGTTCATATCTCTAATATACACTGGTGCTGTATTAACATTATTTATTTACATCTTGGACTCTCCACTTAAAGGTCTGCTCTTTAAGAGGCCTCATCCACAGACCTGACACACACTCAACACTGTCGAATGAATGAATGATTACCAAAACACTAAATATATCAGGGGCAGAAGAATGACTTTCAACTTGAAATGGTTTCTTTTTTTTTTTTTAAGATTTTATTTATTTGACAGGGGGAGTGTGAAAGGGAGAAGCAGGCCCCCCGCTGAGCAGGGAGCCCGATGTGGGGCTCAATCTCAGGACCCTAGAATCATGACCTGAGCCGAAGGCGGACACTTAGACTGAGCCACTCAGGCGCCCCTTGAAATGGTTTCTTTCTTTTTTTTTTTTTTTAAAGATTTTATTTTATTTATTTGACAGAGAGAGAGAGAGA